TAAGTTTCGATTTATGAGACGAAATGTTCAAAGATTAAATGGGAACAATGAACAATTTCATGCCAACTTTAACTTTTAGGAAGTGTGTGCGTGTGCACGATCGAATTGTGCCCATTAATAAGTTATATAAAGGGTTCTGCTCTTGTATTTAATGCGTTAAGGTGACGAAATGCTTCTTAATTGAGAAAAAAATCTTCAAATTACACTATTTTTAATGGTAATTAAACAACAGATACGATTAAAATGAGCTTGAGTTGCGTGTTTTTTCGTTAGAAAATTCACTTTTTCTTACGAATCGTGTGAATTAAATCATAATATTAATTAAATTAATTATTCTATAATAAATACAATTAATCATCATTAAAGAGTGTTAAATGTGGTATTAAAGGCTTTAAAATGTATAATTTGAGCAATATTCAAATAAAATTAAATATTAAATGACATTAATTTAAATCTTGTTGTTTTTTAATTGTAATTATATTATTAATTGTAATTAATTAATTATGTTATTAAATGTATATTTTGTATATCTTGGATATAATAAATAAAAAATTATAAATCCTTTTTTTTTTTGTTGGTTCTCTCTTCAATATTTTCTAATTTAAAAGCATTCTCTAGAATTATTTATCACATAATTAGGCCTATATTTAATAATTTACAATTAATAAATTATAATTAAGAATATTCAAATTGAATAGGTCTAATTTAAATTTCATTAATTATTTTTTACGAATTAAAATATCTATGAATGTAGGGCCTTATGTCTGAACTTCATCTCACTTAATGGGAGGCAATTCACTTAGAAATGTGGGCCCCCATTAAAGCCTATGTAAATTGCCTATGACCCAAATCTGACAGGCCCTAGAAAGACCCAAAAAATCGATTTGTCAAGTCACAAATAAATAAATAAATAAATAAAAATCTTGAGTTCTCCAAGAGGGTTCAATGTTAAATAAAATAAATAAAATCATTGATTCTGTTTTTTTATGTAATTGATAAATATAATAGATTGATTATATTTATTTGGGAGACTTATATAAGTATATAAACATGGAAATAAATAAGTAATATGAATATATACAGGCTCAACTATAGTGACACAGACAAGGACTCGAACACAGAGGAGGGGGCCCTAATTTATTGTTATATATAAAAATAGAAAGGTAGAAAATTAATATAATTTTTTAAAATTATTTTTATTCATTTTATTTATATGTTTTTAAGCCTTTCGGAGATAGTAGGGCCTACATTTTTAAATAATTAGAGCCCCCATCTCAACCCTGTATATAGGCTACATTAATCGTCTTACATAAAGAACAATTTAAAACTTGAATTATTATCGAAAATTAAATAAATTTAAGAATTTTATTTAATTTTCTTACTTCTAAATAAATAAATTAATTAATTTTCGTTTCTATTTTTATTTATTTTTTAAAATGCTTTTAATAAATTAAAAAATAGGACTACATTTTTTCTTTAAAGAAGTTAAAGAATTTTTAATAATCAGATAAAAGAGGAAGTTTTTCCAATAGAAGGTTAAAAAAATAGAAGAAAATATAAGGCCTTAGTGTTAATATGGAACTCGAAACCGATCGAAATCACTAGTTTAATGGAGTCGTCATAACTCTGTTGAGTTTGTGCCCTCCTATCAATGATATAAGGCCACGACAGTGATAGGAGGGCACAAACTTAAACGAACAGACTCGACATCAAGGCGTTGATCTTAATCTAACTTGTGAACTGCAAGTTTAACCTCCTTAAATCTTATAAATTAAGAAACCTCACCCTCCCTCTGTTCAAATTTATATCAAATATTTTTATAAATAGTAAATATATATATATATATATATAATTAGAAATCGAGTTATTCAGTGTAATTTAAGCTTTAAAGAGCATCCTTAGTAACAGAGAAGCGGCAGATAATACGCTCTAAAGGATAAATTAATGAGCCAGCCTGTAAATAAAACCGCTTCCATTGTCGGCATCGTTCACTTAGCCGCAGAGCGTGTTAAAGAAATTAAAAGTAAAAAAAAGAAAAAATTTAACACTCAAAAAATGTAACATTAAGATCCTTTTTCCCAAATCCTTCTCGAGTTTCATTTGTCGGCCAGACAAACATACTCATTTAGAAGCGTTGGAAACTGGAATAGATCTTTACAGTGGCGTATCATTCGAGCATTGGTTGAGGTAAAAATTCATCAGTTACTCAACAAACATGGTTAAGATGATGATTAACTCCAGTTATATGAAGTTACATACGTTATAGAGTCTATTAATGGACGTCACAATAGCTAGAGCGCGTGCAAAACGCCTTATTCTACACCCAGATGGTGTCTTTTGTATGAGACGGTTTTCTTGAAGCTCAAATGAGGTGTAAAGTAGAAGAGGAAAAGAAAAAAACACATATATATGTATGTATGAGAGGTTAAAGTTACCGCTCATTTAATGGTTTTGTATTGTTTTTACTGTTTGTCCATCCTAGTTTTAAAGTTAAGGGGGATGGAAACAAACCCCTAGTGTTTCTTCTATAACAATACGGAGTTGCTTATAAAGAGATTGTGTGTGTTTTTTCCCCCTAGATAAGCCTATCTGTGACGTGTTAGGAGAAACAATGGTTGCCTGTATACTGTGACGTTTTTGTACCACGGACTAAAAAAGGTATTTTGTTGGACCGGAACACATTAAAAGTGACGAAGTGTCAAAAATGATATTCGCGCGTGTTCCCTTTCAAATATTCACTTCATTTAATATACATTTTTATTGTAACGACCTCTGACCTTACCGTTTCTAGTTCAAACGTCCGTAGGGCATAAGTAAATACATTGACGTCTCCACTCGCATTTAAATGAGTTAATATATAAAGTAATTCAAACGGGACTAGACAGGGCGTGTGCCTTATCCGAAATTACAACAACAACAAAAAAAAAAGGGGGGTTTTATTAGTTTATTATTAAGAAATTTTCGGGAGAATTTTACAAAAATAAAATATGGAAAATCTGCAGAGAGATGCGTTTTTTTTTCTTTTTTTTAAAAAAAAAACAAGTAATTTGAGGGAGAGGAATCTAAACTTGGATCTAACTAAACATTGACACAGAACAAAATACGAGATTTTGTAATTTTAACTATTTTTAAAGATTGTTTATGTTACAATTTAATCTATCACGTTCAAAAAATTGCTAATTTTGCAAAAGTAGAAGCTGTTTTGTCCTGTGAACTTCGAAACCAATTTTCAGGTCGAAAGATTTTTAAAAGTATTTTCACGTTTTCCAACTTTATTTAAATTAACACATTCTAAAAATTAAATTTTATATTTATTAATTTTTTCTTCTCGTTAAAATTTATTATTATTTTATTTTATTTTAAATCTCTGCTTAAAAAACAGATCAAAGTAGACATTCTGTTTCTAGAAAAATTAGAAAAATTATTTTTTAATTTTTTATTTTTTTATTTACATCGATGACAGCAATAATTGGAATTTCCTCACCTCTTCTATTTTCGCCGTTCGTGTAAGGTTTTTTTTTTTTTCTAATTTGCACTCGCAGTTGATGACAAAGGTCACAAAAAAAAAAGGTCATTTCGGCTCGAATAACCGTTATAAAAAATAGAAAATTTATTTCTATAACAGTATTTTCTGTACTAATTTGTACTCAATAAAAAAAATATATATATATATATTCAAACTTAATACAACCAGATCATAAATAATTTTTTTTATCATATATTTTTAATGGGAACGTTATGAAAGGTGGGATATTACTTATTGGTAATTTATTAAGGAAACTAAAATTTAGTTCTTTATTAAATTATGGTCGACATTATTTCAATTAGTCAAAGATAGAGGGAGGTCAAAGGGCTTCTTGGTAAGTGAACCCGGACATAGAGGGACTATTAAAATTTATTCTTTCGTATAAAATATATGATATGAAGTGATATAAATTAAATTTTTATTTGATAAGGATTGAAAAATCTATTTTTATTTGTTTTCTTTTTTTTTTATTTTATTTATACATTTTAATTGCTTTTGTGGAGGAAGAGCTCTACCCACCCCTCTCATAGTCAATTATAATTTATAAGTTTACATTAATTTAAAAATTTATTTTAATATTTCTGACGTTCAATATGGATAATATTATTTCTATTATATAAAGGGTTTGAAACTAAATACATTACAGTGTGTGTTACTATAGAATTCTCAATTTATTATATAGAAAAATAATGGAAATATAAGAGATAAATATTAAATTCTTCTTTACAAATAAATGAAGAATATCAAGATTTTATTGAGAATATTTTATATTCTTTATCGATATTTCAAGCACAAGAATACAATTTCTTTTACATACTTTTACAATAGATCGAACTTTGTATGCATTTTACAGCCTAAGAAATCACTTAATTCATATATTAAATATTATTTAAAGTTTGTATTATTCTATGACAGTAAATAAATAAGTCATTTAAATTAAATTTAAGGCTGTAATATACTTAAATAAATATAAAATTGTTTTAGAATATTATAAAACATAATTAGGCCTATATTTAATTATTAAAAATCATTATTATAAAGGACCATTACCTTTGGTAAGGATTACAGATTATATTCTTATTATCATAGACAATATATACTGTATATATATTAGCTTCTGATATGTAAAATTTGACTAAAAATTCAAGGAATGTAGCATTTCATATTATTATATTTAATGTATTTAAGAAGAAAATCATAAACCTATAAACTATATTTAATTTTTATTATTGTATAAAAGACACGAATTCACTTATTTGGCTTACAAACTAATAATTTAATAAAATTATTGTTAGGTCAAGTATCATAAAAAAAAAGTAAAAACAAATCGTGTATATGTAAAGTGCTAGAAATGCTAATTGGTCCGACATAAGTGGTGAAAGTATTTACGAAAAGTAATGTTTGTGTATCGATCATCTGTTATTCTGCAATGGTTTACAACAATATTTCTCTCTTTCCCGAAAACAAATCGTTGCTAAGAGTCGAAGATTAGCATCAGAAGCGATGGAAATATAAATAGGAATCTCCAAAATAGACCCTTCACCAAATATTAGAGGGTAAGATTTTCTAAACTCGTTTCTAGGCTAAACGTTAAGAATAATGTAGAAGAATCGGAAGAAGAGAAGAGCAATCAATATTCGAACGACAAGAGAATGTAAAGTTATGTAAACTAACGGTTGCCATTGTGACTTATGAATCTTCACATCCTGTCACATGACCTGTACGTGAAAGGGTGTCGTATTACGCACGTGCCGACTGAAATCATCCAGAAAATCACGCAACATTTCCTTGGTCCCGTAAATAGACGCTTGATTTACGTACATTATACCGACCTGGGTCCGGTGTGTGTATTCATCGCTTCTATTTTGGTCTTCAGCAAACTATCTGGATCTGGTCTCGGCCCAGATTACAGAAAATGATCGTTATTTATCGTGGAGAATTTGGGTCTGGTAATTTTCTGTTCGTTTCAAAAGGTATTAGGATCCTCTATAGCTTGGTTATTGAAAGATTTAGTAAATATACGTTCGATAATTGCAACTAATTAGCCTATATTAATTGAGGAAGTTTTCGTTTACAAATCACTACAAGTGGCTTTGTTTCGCGTAGTTTACTCTTCTATTTTTCGCGGCTATATAAGGTTAAAAACTAAGAAAGAATAGCTAAATAGAAATGACCTTATGTCAAGCAATTTGGAAGAGTGGCCTACTTAGATCCTTCTATCCTTTTTTTTTTTTTTTTGTTTTTTTTTATTTTCCCCTTTGGTCTATAATTAAGAAGTTTAGGAGGAAAATAATAAAACCTTGAAAAGTTGAGTTAAAAGCTAAAAATAAATTTGCGAATTCGGTTTTGTTCTTCTTTTCAAATTTACGAGGACTTTTATAAGCTGTAAAAGTACGGAGCGTGCTGAATGATATTTTAATATACCGTAACGTTAATGTAGAAAGAAATATCCTTGTTTAGATTAGATGAAATTTTAGAGTTAGAGACCAATCACAGCTTCCAGACTATGATCTGTACAGTTTGTCATGCTGTTATGCATCCTTGGATAATGATCAAAGTGGATAAATTCGAAAGTCTAATCTGGCCACCGCGTGGGAGTTATCGTTAAGAGAGGTTATACTATTGATAGAAAGTCTCGTAGTGTAAATTAATTGAGTTTCAAGCGAGGTTTTCGCTTTACTCCTTCGTATAATTTCGTTTAACCTAGTAAATTTGATATTTACAGGAAGCATCGGCAATGTATCTTGTGTGTCCGTGAAATACAAATAGCTGTGACCTGCGTGCACCCCATTACAAGCTTTCTTCCCCATCCGGAGATGTCGGTGAGCAGCCAGCCAAGGGACAAGCTTTCAGCAGCCACCCGCTGTCCCTGTGATAAATAGATGTCAGACATGTTGACGAAATAATCTTTCCTTTAACCTAGGTTCATTTCCTTCCTTTAGGAAATGCAGCATTCATCTTGTTTTTGCATCATAGTTACTATTCGTTTGTCACTCTCGCGTCCAGAATGGTACGAACCTCTTGATAAATGAAATGACCGTCCTTGTACGTGTAACATTAAAAATGCATCACGAGGAATAAAAGCGCAAAAAATATTCCACGCAGGTGGATGAGAACAAAGGTATGACAACTGACCACATGTAGCGGTTCCTGATTCGAAGCCTTTGTTAATATTTCCTTTTTCTGTCATTCAAACTTCTTTTGTTACAAGTGCACGCTTTTCTCTACCAACTTTATTGTTTTTTTTCCCTTTTCTTTCTTTTCAATTACAATTATTTTCAAATTTAATTATGTAGACATAAAATAGTTAGGTTATGATGCGATATACATTTTTGTTTATAGAAACAAAAGGCTGAATAGGGCCTACGCGATTATATAACTTAGTTTTATCACGTAGAAATTAATTAGATTTTGAAAGCATGTGACACTTTTTAAGAATAAATCAATTTTTTTTTAAATTATTTAATTATTCCATTTCAATTCATTTAATCGCATTTAATTGTTCAATTACAAAACTCAATTAGCTGAACAGTCGGAATTAACCGATCAGTTTCAAAGATAATTTTGAAATCGATTTATTTAATTTCAAACTCGATTTAATTAATCGATTTCGAAATGTATTCAAATAATCGATTCGAAAAATCGATTAATCGATTAATTTCAAAAATAAAAATTACTAAAAAATTTCAAATCGGTTTTAAAGCTCAGTTTATTCATTTTATTTCAAAATTTTCATTAAATTTGATTGAATTAGTATAAAAAACATCAAAAAGCCTCTCTTATAAATCTGTTATGAACATTTATAAATATTTCAACCGATGAAAATGACCATTAAATCCCATTCTCTCTTTTGTATACGCGTATTTACAAACTTAGTTTTGACATTTTGACACGTGGTTAATCTTCCCTGCCCTTTTCTTCCAAACAGGAACTTCATCTCACAGTTTCTTCCACTTATATTTATAATATTTTCTTTGACTTAAATTATTATTTCGACAAAAGAAGCTAGAATAAATGAATGAAAATGGAAGATCTACGCCTTTTTTGATGTAGTTGTCAAGCATTTCCGGCGTTACGAAGTCCAAAAGGTTGTTTCTCAATTATTATCTCGGATCTTCTTCAAAACGGATGTGTATGCAGATAACCAATTATTTGTTACAGAAACATCTGTTATAAATAAGACAGACTCGAAATAACCCTTTCTTTTTTTCCTTTTCTCCTAACACTCAACCTTATCTTTATTTCCATTCCTCTCTGTTTTTTATCGATAAGCTTGTAACTCCGTCTTCATCTATCTGAATACTAAACAAGTAATATTTTATCTCTTTATACCACTCCAAAACCTTTAAACCCATCAAGTTTAGAACAAAATCCCTTATCCGCCCGGTAAGTACGCCCTACAAATACTTACTAATTTTAAAAATCACTAAATAAATTCTCAAATACAGCAGAAATTTTACTGGTGTATAAAGCAAATACGGCTATAAAACTGGATCCATTGTAATTTAAGCGGTTATAAATAAACTTATGGAGGAATTTCAACCACCTTTATACACGTGCAATGCAAAAGTTTGCTGGAAGACAAACCTTTCTTTTCATAGCTTCAAACATATCATGTGGAGAATCTAAACAATAAGTTCTTCCTTCTAGCACGATGCTTGTGGGTCATCTACCTACCCCCTAATGCTAGTTCTAAAACTAGAAAATGCACAGCTGATGCTGCTGCTTCGCTTCTCGTCTTGTATGTACGCTGCAACCAATCACAGATGTAATCCAGGGGTTAAGCTGGTGACAGAGATGAACCTGTCTGCACACACAACGTTAACAAACTCAGAGTATTGTCTTCTCCTTTCCAGCATCTGGAATGATGGTAAACGTCATTAAACTGTCCTTTGATCCCAAATATATTAATACATGTTATGACTATGACACGCTACGTAAACATAACCTAAAGCGATTTTTTGACTGCAAGAAGAATGGTTGAAGATGAAGGATTTTCCCTCCTTCTGTTTAGTCTTTTTTTTTAAATTTTTTTTGATGGGTTAAGCTGCTTCATTCGCTAATACTTCTTACGGGATGAGTTTGATCGAATTGACCTTTCACCCCTGTTAGTATTAGCGATATGTACTGTACATCGTGTTGTAAATTTCCAGAAGTGTCGGATTACTTCCCTTGTTTACGTAACAAGGACGGAAATAGTAGCATAACTTTCACCCTAAAATATTAAGTGATACGAAATATCTAGTCTCTTCATATTTTGCAATTAAAACATCAACAGCTAATTTAAGTAGCTTTTCGGGAATATTTAAACATCCTATTCAGTTACTTCCAATATTTTACTAATAATTTCTTAAAAAGTTATTAAAATTATAGAAATCTTTCTAAAAATATTAAATTAAAACACCATTCTACAAATACAGTGTTTTAATGTAATAAACACGATTTAAACTAGCTCCATCTGTCGACGTGTTTTAAAACTACGACAGTTTTTCGGCGGTTATAAAGGCAATTTTTGGCGTGCCAACACGAAGATATGATTGTAAATCGCTTCGAACAATTTACGGAAAATGTCCAAAGCAACAGTTTTATCACAAACATGTCCACGTTCCGATTTTTTCTTGGCAAAACTTTCTAGTCTTATGCTACCAAACGGGGTCAAACTTACTATGCTAAATAGCGTGCCTATTAACTCCCTTATATTTTTTTTCTTTCATTTTTTGCTAACTTTAGAATGCAACAAAGCGAGTTCCACATACCAATGTCAAGCGAAAACGTCATTCCATACGCAAGAAAGACGTAGATAAAATTTAAAAAAATAAAATAAAAAAAAATAACAAATTTAAATAAAATAAATGCATCACCGTAATACTAAAAGAAAGAACGAAAAAAAAAGAAAAGGTTTATTGTCGAGCCTGAAAGTCATTAATCATGTAGTATACGGGAGGTGAGACATGTAAATACGTGCAACATCCCAATACTGCCTTAAGAACAAGGTAGTGTTACACATGTGAAACTGTGGATGTTGTTTTCTGTCTGCAGAAGGTGTTACAACATTTCTGTCTACATTTATAGAATACTTACATCGTTAATTGCTCTTTAAAAATATACGTAAAGATAAATATTATCTTCTACTTGAGAAATTTGTTTACAATTATTTTATTGCTTACTTTGATACCTTTTCAAGTTCTTTAATGTGTTTGACACAGGTTCACTTTCTAGATATTGCTTTCGATTGAAATAAATTCAAATTCTCGATCGTTTGCTTTCATAATTTTACATGCAATTAAACAAGAAATAAATCACGCTTTAAATAAGTTAAACAATATTTTAAGTCTCTTTAAATATAAATAAAATAAAAGGAAATGTTTAACAGTATAAAATATTCTTTAATTTTATAGTCTATTATTTCAAATAAAATAATTAAGATAGATTTTATAAGTATTATGACTAGAAAGATTTTAAAAAACCATACGGATAGACAAACATACTTATAAAATCTTCATCGTGTAATTTCTGTTATAGTAAAGCATCAATGCTTGTATAATTACACAAGTTTCATTCGTTTTATCCGAATAGTGTACGCTATTACGCTAATTTTACGTCATTCTTAGTTTATTTTACGTGAAAACGTGATAATGACGTCAATTTGACGTAAAAGTGTACATTGTGTAGACAAAACAAATGAATCTACGGTATTAATGACAGAAATGACGTAATACAATAATGATTACACAGTATGACAGAAATCACGTGACTAAATAATGACAGCGATCACGTGATTCCTGTCATCTATATCACGCGAATACTTTATGTATTCTATAATGGAAAAATTTCTATAATTTTACAAATCTTTATTTTACTACAGTCACGTGACCTTCATTCATAAAGCCTTTTTGTAAAACATTTAAAATATGAATGAAGCGATCACGTGATTATAGTAAAATATAACGAATCACGTGGTATTCATTCATATAAGATTTATACCGTAATCGATTATTCATCAATAAGACAATTCTTTTATAATTTTGACGTATTTTTTAAAATATTTACTGTATTATTTATTTTTACGGAATTTTTTAAATTAATAAATAATTTTTAAAATATTAATTAAATAAATTTTACAAAATACAAACTCGTCTCGCCATCTAGTGGTGTTATATAAAAATAAAAATGTTTAAGGTGAATCATAAATATCTTAAAATAATATTATAAGAAATATAAAATATTATTATTAAAATATATAATTAATTAATATATTAGAAAACTTAAAGTTTTATTCTCTTAACAGAGAAAAAGAACTTTAATGTAGTGTAAATAATGTATAAAGGATCACAATTAAATCTATTTTGTTTAACTGAGTTCAAATAAAATAAAATAAATATTCATAGAATTATATTTACAACATATAGATATAATTAGATCCGGTTGGGAGGAGATTCCTCCTTAAATTATCTTTAAATCAATATTTGTCATATAGACTTATGTGATAAACTTTGTTAATTGATATACATATAAATCAATTTATATTATATATATAAACATAATTTACTAATTAAAAATCCTGTTTATATTAACAGTAAATTGACATAAAAGATAACATAATTTTACATCTTAATCTCTAGTGTTCTTTTCGTAAATGAATCCCACTTTAAAGTGAATTTTCACTTATAAAAACTTTATTTTTAGAATATTTTCTCATTATATTTTAAAATAGTAGAGATAATTTAAACATTTACAAGTTTATTTCAAGCGAAGAGGAGGATCTTTTAATGTAATTAGAGGTTGAGGAGTTCTATTGGAAGGAAGATAATATTCAATGACTCACATCATCCTCAACGCCAATTAATTTACCGGTCTCTTATCACCACCTTCTGGTATCTGAACCAACCTTTGGCAGGAAGTTGATTTTGGGCGTGAAATATCGCACGTGCCTAGGCTTCAAGGACGTTACATCGACAACAACGGCTCCTTTGTCGAAGTTGCACCCGACCAGATGGAGTTGCTGATCTGGGAAGGTGTTATATAAACATCGAAACATGTGACGGTTTCGGTGGCAGACATTAAAATCAGACAAAATAAACGACAGATGGGGCATTTTGTTAAACAGATTCCTAAATCCTAAACAAATGACGCACTGGAACTTCCGTTATATCATCAGACTTGACAGCATCTCTTGTGATTTGCGACTTTATGTTTTCATTTTATACTTTTACAATACGACACCAAACAACAAACTTTTTTTAAAGCATAATACTTCATTAATTTATAAGATAAATACAATTTTAACCTTCCCGAACGACGAGGCTCAGCTTCAAATTCCATCAATTCTCTCCAAGTTTTCTGTCAGTTTATCGAAAAAAAAATCATAAAATATAAATTTATGAGCTCAGAAAATTAATTTTTAATTACTTAAAAAGTAAGGGAAAAAAAACTACAAAAGAACTCGATTAGAACAATTAAGCGTGACGTTATTTCGAAGGAATGCGTTATATAGAAGTAAAAACAGAGGGTCTTTGTTTCGGCTCGTTCGAGAAAGATGCAGAGAAACCGAAGTATAAGTGATATCCGACATAAACAGAGGACGAACAGAGCTGTCACGAAGACCTTCCGGTAAAGCAAGGGTCGTGATTAGACGATACGGATCAGAGTTTCTAACGAGGGAAAGTAATCGAATACGGGTAACGAGAAAAGCAAACATTAAATAGAGAATCTATCGGGTCAAAGGTTGAAGGCGAAAAGTCCGTGGGAATGTTCAATCTCTTTTACTGAAGAGGTTTTGTCCTCTATAATCTCCCACTCACTGATCCAATCGTAAATAATTTGCCATCGTTTTCAAATTAATAAAAGGGTGATAAAAGCGCCGTTTGCCTTTAAAATCGTGTTAATATTACACAGAACCTTAGGTACCGTCTATTAATTACGTATGCATTTTTATGCCACTTTTGACCCCCTTTCTCTCGTGCGTACAATGATGTACTGTACTTTTGGCAAACCCCTCCGCTTTAATTTCATTTTATGCACCCCCTGATATTGAATAAATGACTGTAAAAAGTTCTGCAAACATTTTCTGACATACTTTATTCGCATAGGCTTATAAAATACAAATGCATATACCAAAAAAAGGTCCGCGTAGACAATACCCCGATCCATCGCTCCCCATCGTGTACAATGATGTACTTTACGCAATCCCCTCCTCCCTCTCTTAAATCGTACACGTAATTAATAGACAACCCCTTAAGGCATAATTTTATATAGGCACAGAGTAACATATTGTTTATCGCACAAAGAGTGACTGAAAAATGGGTCTAAAAACGGTTAAACTAAGATTATTTTTTAAAAAATAATTTACATATTGAATTATAAATTGATTATACTGCATTAGAAGATATATAAAATGGTTCTGTTTAAAGTTTTATTCTATTTTTGACGGTTTAAAAACAGGAGAAATCCGGAACTGTCCCGTACAAACTGGGACTTACAGTCATCCCTAATATATAACTAAGTTATAATTATAATAATTCGAATATAACTTTAAGACAGTAAACGTATTTTAGTTTAGTTAATATATAATTGAGATATTTACCAACTTATTAAATTGTTAAATTAAATTCCTTACGTATGAAAGCGTAAAAACTTACCATAAAATTACGTCTTGTGATTATAATTTTCGCTAAGAAGAGCTGTGATCACGACATAAAAGTTTCTTCTGTAATTTTTTTTTTAAATTAAATTAATTCTGAAATGAATTTTTAGTATTTTAAGACACGCAATAAGACATACAATTAATTCTAAAACTCATTTACTGTACAGTAACACAAAGGCACGCACAGAGACACGCATTAATTCGCACATCTTTAAAATTTTTAGCTTTAAAAATGAAATTCAAACATAAAACTGATAACGACATAAAAACATACATTTATTTTCACATTCATTCAATAGCATTTTAACATTATCTTCACAAATTGCACCCAAAATTAACAAAGGAAGTGATACAACTAAGCCTGAACGACGATCCGCAACTTCTATAGTAACAAATATTATGTATATATATTTATATATATAACTTGGTACTCTACATCACATTTAATACAACGGTAGCATATATAAGAAATTTGGAATTACTGTATATAAATTTTAAAACTGTTAATGGTGTCAGGAATAGTCTGGTTGACACGTCTTCTTTGGTCCTATGCCTATTTAAAGTTGGAGAAATGTTTGTCATCTGGCCGATTCCAACGAAGGACTGCTATTCGAGGAGCATGGTTTAACACTAGAAAGAAGAGGGTACCAATACGATACCGGTGCCAAATTGGCTTCGTGTGGTGTCCACAAATCATGGACCGAATAGCAATAATTGGGTACTAATTGGGGACAAAGTGTAGGCAAGTACGACTGGAATGGGATGGAGTAGAATACACAACTGTCTTCTGTCGACGATGTGGGTGGAGATAAACGAGAAGATCTACTTTCTCCGATGATGCTGTCGATGCTAAACGATACAGTTCTTTTCTCCTTCACTTCTTCTCTGGAAATGGGTACCTTTTCGGCTTCGGCCACCTGTTTGAGTTTGGTATAATCCGCGCTCTTTTCGCTCCTTACCGGTTGTTGCGCTTCTAAACTAACTTCAACTTTACTGTCTTGTTTGTAAGGAGTTTTATTCCTTCTTTTTCTCCTTCGAAAGTTTCCGTTTTCGAACATTTCTTCGCTATTTGGGTCTAAAGTCCAATAGTTACCTTTACCCGGCTTACCTTTTTCTCTGGGTACCTTAATGAAGCAATCGTTTAGGCTGAGATTGTGACGGATGGAATTCTGCCAACCTTGTTTGTTGTCGTGGTAGTAAGGAAAGCGATCCATGATAAATTTGTAGATGCCGTTCAGCGTGATTTTCTGGTCTGGCACACTTCTTATGGCCATGGCAATCAGAGCAATGTAAGAATATGGCGGTTTCTGTAGATGATCGGACCTTCTATCTCCGGGTTGTTGCTGCCCGCTACCCACGCTGACGTCATATTGCGGTATGGGGTCGGCATTTAACGAAACGGCAGTAGGTCGAACAACACCGCAAGGATAGAGCAAACGTTCGGTAAACAGTCCGTAATATCTACCTATGGGCGATGTCATAGATGCGATGCGTTATTTGTCCACTCTACTTGACCAATAACTGCGGGGACGACATGGAAAATGAGAGAAAATTCCTACCTCTCTTATATAGACGGTGTGCCGATAGAGTGCAGCTTGTGATCTGGGATGTATGCGAAAAGACCGCAAACCCGATAGGACGGTGACAGCCCCCGAAGGTGTGTTAGCAAGCTTATTTTGAGATTCAACAGCCACCACAGGCAGAGTAAAACAAACCTAGTTCAATGTTTCCATTCACTGGCCCGGACAGAACCTGGTGTTACAAAAACATTCACTCACACACCACTTTGATTAGATCTCTGGGAAGGGACGCAAACACTTGAAAACACCGCAGGCACAGGAAAACATCCACGGGACAGTTCAGCAGCAAAACAACCTCTCCTTCGATACCGTTGGATGATGTTGAATGTTATTATTACACTGGCGCACGCATACATAGTCGCTACTTAGTTAAGATGAAGCGCCTTTTTTTTTTTCTTCCTCTTCTTCTTCTAACTTCCACGTCTTCTTCTATCGAGTCGTGGCTCCTCCTCTTGATTTTTCGAAAGAGGGCGGTCCGAGCCCACCCAGATCGGTGTATATTTCTCTGCTTATTTTATACGAGTATCATAGACCCGGCTCGAAGGACAAATATTTACTTCCCCGTCTTGGGAAAAGGAGCGTTAGATTTGCACGTGATGACAATACTCTGTGGGAAGATACTCAACCCGATTAACTCCCAAATTATACAAAACCTGTTAATTATTATAACTAAAAAAATCCATCAAACCACCCACTAAATGCTTATTTGTATAAGTAGTAGAATGATAAATAAACACAGGAGAGTAAGAAGAAGAGCGAGAACAGAACACAAATCTCCACTAAATAAACTTAAAAAAGTATAAAGAAAATTAAAGCTATATTAACTTAGTCTTTGATAAATTACACGTGCCACTTTTTTTTTAAAGTTAATTCTGTAGTTTTGGAATGTGTAAAGACAGCTTAGAAGGGGAGTTAGTGTGTCTGTTATGTACGTGATGGTGGTCGAACCGTTATATTGACTTAGTAGATAGTGGGAAAATATTTATTTTTTCTAGCAGTTGGGCGAAAAGTATAATAGAAACCGACGTTTCCATAATTAGATAGAATATCCAATGAGTAAAATAATCAAACAAGTTCTTCTGTTTATATTCTTGCCTGCGAACAAACAGACCATTAGTGTTGGAAGTTTTATGCAGATGATTGCTTTCTGTAACGAGATAATATATTAAAAGCTACCGCTCTTTACTAATTTTTAAAACAAGTATTTTGCTAATGTTTTTTACAATTCAATTTTTAAATATTTTTATTTAATTTCTGCTTCAAAAAAAAAAATATTCTTAAATTTCTTAATTATTTTAAACATTTAATTCTTTTTAAGCAATTAAAAAACAATTCATTTAGTACTTTTTAATTTGATTTTTAATTATCAGATTTAATTTAATATATTAAATCATTAATTATCATAAGGAAATAACGCATTTAAATATTTAAATAAATTTTAACTCGTTACACATCAAATTTTATCATTAATTATTTTTTTATTGATTAAAAAATAAGCGAAAAATGAATAAATATATTTTCTATAAAATAAAATTTAAAAAAATATAGGCTATCTTAAAGAGTAAAATTATCATAAAAAAATCTGGAATTTTTCAGCATTAAAAGCATAAAAGAAGAAGAAGAAGAAGAAGTAGATTTAACAGGTCGAAACAAAATGTAACAGCCAGTTATCATACTCTAAAATTGCTCTTTATCCATCTAGCACTTCATCAGTTATGTCTAGATGGAGATAAAAATTAAACAACTAAAGATCATCAAAACCATAATAGGAAACGATTACATCACCTACTACACCTTGGTTATTTTAGCGGCTTGGAAAATAATTTCTATGACAGAGACGGGGATGAGAAATAACCTAAACATTGCGAGTGAAGAAAGTGGTATATCGACTAACACCCTCCCTACCCTCGATAGCCCTCGGGATTGTTATTCTTACGCTACAGACCAGTTAATTGAATGGGAAAGTAATGAAACCCATGTTTGGAGTTTATCCACCAACCTGCATTAGTTCCCATGCCCCGGGACACGCGAGGGAGTGTTTTTTCTTTCCTTCCCCCATCTCTCCTGGGCTATTTTAGCCATGTGCCTAAGCGCTCTTGTTAGAACTGCTGGATTAACCCACGTGTATTTCATAGCTTAATCTTCATGGATAAGATGCCTTTTTTTAAATATATATACATATGTATGTAATTAGAGTTAAATTATGCTAAAATTTAAAGATAAATGTTTAAAATTAAATGAAGAAATCTTTCTAGTTCTTAAAATTTGATTGTATAAATCTAAAATAGAGATGGAAAAGTTCGATTTTCTTGAAAGAAATAAAAAAAAAATTGATTCGATCTTTCTATAGATTTTTCTATTTCCTTTTTTTTTTTAAGACTTGTATTATTTATTAAGTAAATACAAACTTCTCTTAAAGAAATATTAAACGATTAAACAAGTATATAAAAATCACATCAAAACATTTATTTTTTAAGGCTCTATGTAGAAGATATTTAATATAAAATTGTTATGAGTTTATATTATTCTATAATTGATAATCTATTAAAAAATTTCAGTAAAACACCGTAAGAAATCTGAAAAATTTGCGACTTTTCAGGGATGGGAATGCGAGTTTAAAAGTATCACCTACTTTGCTTGTATGTAATTTACTACTAAAATCCTGATTAAACTTATGATTATATTATATTATAAACGATAAAAAATATACTAGATAATAATAATATTTTCTTCACTGGTCATTAAAACTAACAGCTGATAACTTCAACACATACTTTGAGAATTTCTCAAATATTGTTTATATAAACTAGTTTCATTCGTGTATTAATCATTCAAACACATTTTTTTACACTTCAAAATTTTGTCTTGAAATATTTGTCAACGTTTAATAGTAAAATAATTATCTGATATTACTTAGTAAACTTATTAAACTATATTAAAGCGTTTACTTTGCATCTTCGAGTTGTAATTTAAGTGTAAAAATTGGATTTATAATGGAATAAATTAAATAATGTTGCAAATAAACTATGAGTATCTGAAATTTTAACATGAAAATGCTCATAGGAAGTCAGCTTTTACCTTTAAGAACCTCTATAAGCATTTTGTAAGCCTTTAGTATAGTTACTTCGTAGGCCTTTCTATCATTCTGTAGACCTTCTACGCTCATTTTGTAGACTTTTATCGATAATAAAATTAATTAATAATGTAAAAATGTGTGCGAGGAATATATTTCTCACAATTAAAACCTTTAAAATTTAATTAAATTCTCTCATATTAAAAGAAAAAAAAAATTATTATTTTTCTATTCACTAAAGTAAACATTCTAACATTTTGTTTAAATAAATAAATAGAAAAAAATAATAATAATATTTTTAATGATGTTTCTTACTTTAAGAAGATATTATAATAATAATAAAAATTATATTTTATTCTTACTTTAATCCCAAGTGTTTTCTGGATCAATAAATAGTGGACATCTAATACTTCTCACCCTATAACAACTAATAAAACTGCTCGTATAAAAAAAATATATATATATATTAAGTTATTTAATCTACTCTTCCACATTTATTTTGATGTCTTATATACTTTAAACTTCTAAAAATCTCCAAATTTTTTCAGTTTTTTACGTTAAATTACGAGTTTTATCACTAAAAAAATTAAGGGATATTCTAATACCTTTTTTTTTTATGTTATTAAAGCAAAACTAGAGAAAATTTACAAGATTTTACTTCTAAATATAACTTAATAAAACACTTTCTTACCGACTACAAGCGTAAAACACGTCATAATTTACTTTTTAACATACACTTTCAGCGAATAAATTATTAAAAGCGACCATATTTATTTATTCAACTCGTAAACCGAGCCACTCCTATATAAATTAACGATGGGTTATTTACATGAGCTGTAAAGTTTTTGAATTTTTTAAAAGAAAAAAATAAAAAAAAAAAGAAGAAGAAAATGGACTAAAGAAGTGCAACACGATCCCAGACATCATTGGGGTCGGGTGCTGACCCAAAACCCATTAATTCCAATGGTGTTTATTCAACATTGAGTTGCTGCCTTTCAACACTTGGGATCAGTTTTATCGAAATGCTTGAGAAAAACTTCCCTAAGTCCCCTAGGACGAATTACCACTCTTATGCACTCTGATTGATAAACAGTTATGACAAAAACGCCCTCCAAATTCAACCAATAGCGACTCGGGGGACGGTTTCAATGTTATGATTTTTCTCTAACGACCATTCTGATTGATTCGTTTTGAAATTTGAATTTTTTTTAATATATATATATTAGAAAATTAAATTATTAATTAATATTTTTTAAAATGTAGTTTATATCTTTAGGGATTAATTTTTTTTTAGTTTTTTAATAAAGATTTGATGATTCATTAAAGAAAAATATAACAAACTTACAACAATTTATCTCTTCCTGTGATAAATAAATAGCAATCCAGTCAAGTAATTCTCGATGATTTTAAAAACAAATAACGTATTAGAATCAATTAATTCAGTCTTAAAATAAGTAATTAAATGCTTGAAATTCTTAAAAATTTAATTATTAAACATTTAATTAAGTTATCCAGCCTAGTAGGGCCTCACATTTTTTTTTTACACGTACGTGAAGGTGAAAGGCCTTTTAAAGCTTATGACTTTAATATTTTAATTATTTAAAATTATAAATATAATAATTTAATAAAGCAAAATGTATTTTTACATCATCGTTAATAGACTTTTTACCTTATATAAATGTTTGTAACTGTTAGAATCTCGAGACATTTTTATCCTTATAACAGCTTATTTTTAGATAAATAAGGTATAAAAAAATTTTTTTTAAAGTAAAGTGAAAAAATTTAAGATAAAAACCTATATATTTCAAATTAATTAAAAGTGATGCGAGTAAAAATGTGATGGAGGAGGAGGAGATAAACTCATCACTCAGTTGATATATCAGTTCAAACTCCTCAATCATGTTGTCACTATGGAAAGTTTCGAGAGAAACTGGAGGATTTAATGTGATTTTTATTTTATTTAGTAGATAACTTTGCTGACCGTCTTCAAATTATTCGAATGAAAAAGATTTTTATATTATAGAAACGTTTTATAAATTTACCAAAGCGTTAGATCTAATTACATCAACTTAGACAGATTTATTGCACACGCGATCGTCTTTATTTCGTATTATATTAATGTTTTTTTTTTTTTAATTCTTTTACTTATTTAGCCATTAAAAAAATAAATAAATTAAGTAAAGGATCCGTTTTACACCCACAAAAGTAACTAAATATTAAAATGTGCTGCTGCTCCTTTACAAAGTAACTTACTTCAATGGCGTTAAATTGCTTTAAAATATTGTTTTAAGTAAGGATTATTGTTATTAATT